GTGCACAGTGACACAACGCGCTTTGCTGGTATCTGTTAATTTGGTTACTTATTAATTAACTGTGCAGATCGCACATTTTCTGTCTTGTGTCAAGAGCCTTGAAAGTTATCCGCCACTGCAATAATCATAAAATATGTTTGGTGTAAACTTAAATTATTCGTCATTAAAATTATTTTCATTATAAGTGTTATAACTAGGGGAGTACTTCTATAAGGCATGCCCCCAATCAGAGGCCTGTTAAAGAAGGGAAAATGTGGAGGAAATCCGCCTTTGTCAGTGCTTTAACTGTGACCAAACCAATCAGTACTCCCTCAGGGTTGTTACACTGATGTTTGTGTTCCCCCTTCCGTAAAAATATTGCTTCATCAGCTATCTGATAATTTTCCAGCCTTCGTTCAAAATTATGAGCGTTTACAAGGGACTGTTCATTTGGGGGTTCCCACTACAGCAGGTTAAGCATAAAGCTCCCTGAACTTTCACAACTTCCCTAAAAATTGTTACATTGAACTTTATCAAAGCTGCCATGAGTATTCTTATACCGCAAAACCTACCCGAGATGAAAAGTGTGTAAACAGATCCTGTTCATGACTAAAATCACATATCTTATGTCGATGTCAAGTTGTTGTTAAGTGATTCTACATTCCATAGTTGATTTATGATAATCTTAGAATGAAAACTGAGATATTTTGAGAACTGCACATTCATCCACAAATTACTATTATTGTATAAGCTGCCCTAACAAAGGCCCTTCTGTGACTGCCAAAGTTGAGGGCTACTAGAAGATAGAAGGAAAAAAAATCAACCACAGGGCAGGAATTAAGCCTGCCACTTCCAGTGTCATAGATACCTCTGAAGTGATCTTACCATGGAGAAAGTACACAGAAGGTGCTACAACTCTAGCACATCAAAGTGCTCGAATAAAGTGCTTCAAATAAAACTCCAAATCTTACAAACAACCTGCATATTTATTCCCAAAAAGTTCAGGAGAAAGCGTTTGGAAGGGCAATAAATGCATAAGAACACTCCGGGCACACTGCCTGATAAACGCAACTGCGCAAGCATTAAATTTGATGTTGTTTACCAAGCACCAACGTTGGCTCAACTTCTTAGACGGCAGTTCACAACGTTTTAAGATGCAGATTACCAACAAAAATTGCAGCGATGATCATGGGGTACAAATGGGGCTTATCGTTGTGAAAAAGGTGGTGCGTAGCAAGCATTCCCTGCGCTCTGGCTATGGACCTACAGGCGTGCCAGAAAGAGGAAATTGGCCACGTGTTCTAGCTCGGGCGGTTCAAACTGCTTATGTGTCCTTCCTCCATGCTCTTGCAAAAAGGGGGGGGGAGTGTTGCCGTAATCTGGAAAACATGATGACGGTAGATTATTTCACAGTACAGCAGGCAAGTGTAAAGAAATGAGTCTATACGTCGAATAAAAAAATATATGAAGAGGGCGTAACACATGACATTTTGTGCAACTCGATGACTACAAACCATCTGCGCTTCTCCCCATGGCATTCCGCTACCTCTGCCTCCAGGGTAACAAAGTCGAAAACACCGTTTTCGTTATTGAATGGAAATGCCAATGCAGATATCCAACAGATGTCCCAAAACAATTGTATTTAACATACGGAATCCTGCCGCCCTTTTTGCTAGGGGGATTTGCGCTGGAGATGTTAATTAGTTTTGGATTATTGCCCTGCTTGTGGGTTTTTTTCACAAGCCTTCAGGTGCATACATTGTATGAGTATACAGTGTTAAATACACGTCGGGCAGGACAAAAGTCCAAAATTAACAATGGAATTTTTTTCCGAAACATCAATGAATCGACAGAGCAGATGCTCAGAAAAATTGCCTAGCTGTTTTATACTAAAATGCAGATACTCATAAAATAGTTACGCGTATTATAGTATCAAAAGTCGTGAAAATGAATTCAGTATACCTGAAAAGATTGGGTCGATGTTTTCAGCTGCTATTTGCGTGCTACTGTGGCAGACAACACCTGGTTTGGACCTCGATAGGTGGTCGCAGGGGAGGGGCGTGACTAGTTGTTTTTGCATTTACCCGGGTTTTTAGTAGGACGCATGCAATAAGAATTTAAAGTGCATAGCTGCAAACGCGATATTTCATTTTCCTATTGAAACTGTTTAAAACCTAAAAAACCCTTCGAGTGTCCAGAATGTGTGGTTTCGTCCTCTTCTGTCTTTCACGTGGATCATGTTAGATCATGACTAATTTGCATTAAAAAAAACATTCATTGGCGAATTTAAAAGACCAAACCGTGGGTTGATACTCACTTTTTTATCTCGTGCCCACGACTTATTTTTACCAGTACTCGTGTATATAGTAAAGGGGCGTAATCATTGCTGTCTCCTATGCGTGTGAAGTTTGGTGGAGTGGAGTTAGGTCCCTTTCATGAATTTCGTTTTTTCTGGACTGTTTAAATAACACTATGAAAGACATTATAGAGGGAAACTGAGCAGGTGCTTATAAATCATTAGAAAGATGAACAAATAAAATTCACTTGAACGGGATTTGCACCTGTCTTCTATGGAATACCGTACTGCTCTACCAAGTGAGCTTTCCAGCCCTATGTTGGTGACTCTTCCCATTTGACTCTTCCCATTATTTCTTAAAATTATGACAAGGAAGGCCGGTCTAATCTGTGCAAGCAACATTCAAGGAATAATTGGTCGATATTAAGGGAATAAATATGTGCTTGGCAGGTTAAACGTGCGGACCGGCTCAGGAGAATGAACGGGGAAAATTGCCGAGCCGCAGGCTAGGGTATTATCCCCTGCCCAACAACGTTCGCTTTCTTGAGAAAGGTCTTAAACATTAGTTTAAGACCGACCAACGACATATCTATTCCCCTACATTCCTTTTTATTCAGAGAGTCAAAAGCAGTCAACATATAATGGATTTCCAACAATTTTGTTCAACAACTTTACTTTCGTTTTCCCAGTCTATTTTATGTTATATTCCTTTTGAAAGTTGTCCAATAGAGCCCCTTCAATGAACTTTGTGGGCGCGTGGCGCGTTGTGCGGGTTGTGTCTTACGCAGACTCTTTGACCGTACCAATTCGAAAAAGTGTCTTGTGTCTGGGAGCCAGCGCCTGAGTATCACTTCTCAGCGGGCGTTATCAACATAATGTTAATACACGATCACGTTGCACGGGAGACTGTGAGGTATTTATGAGTATGATTGGTGCCGTGAATCAGAGTTTATAAAAAACAGGGGATGAAATTTGTCATCAGTAACAACAGGACCACTCCCCATTTAATGTATACTGGTATATATTAAATCGTTAAGTGAATAAGACACAAAAATGCATATATAAACACAAAGGAGCCCTTGCGTCGCCGGGCTCTGGATACGGAGTTTTAAAACTCTCGCTCTCTGGGAAACACTAACCTAATGGGCCCGCGGGCGAGTTGTGTTGACAAAGTGTTACCCACCAACTATCGTGGCTTTGGGAGCGTTCGATTAGCTTACACGTCGTGTAAGTCAAACTTACACGAGAGCCTTCGTTTAGCTATCACGTGGTCTCAACCCTGGTGTCACCTGCAGCCACCGCTACCCCGGCTGGCGAGCGGGTCCCTGGAGGCTGCCTGAATGTAATGACATCACGGGTGGGCTGAACATGGACATGATGGATCGTGGCGGGGACTCGACTTGACCTTTTTCCCAGAATGTCTTGGCCAATATACTGCAGCGTTCGATAAGCCTCATTTCAATACTTCCCTTGCGTGTATGATTACGCCCCTTCCTAAACACACGAGTACTGACAAAAATAAGTCGTAAAATAATGTCGTCCGCAGGCGATAAAAAATGGACGTCCCTTTAGGGGCTCTGTAGATATTGGCGGGCGGGATGAATATAAATATCCTTACTTTTTGGTCAAAGACATGAGCCATTCACCCCCTTTAAGGGATGGAAGCGGATACAAACCACAGATTTGCTTCAAAAACAAAAACAAAAACAAACAAATGACCCTTTCTCCGTTGTCAATAGTTTATTACCTGAAGTTTGTTGTTGGTGAGTACCTCTCCCCACCCAGAAGTATTTCTTTACCGGGAAAAAAATCCTGGCGACGCTCACGATCTGGATTTGGCTGAAAAAAATGGGCTGGCGCATACTCCTTCTATGTATGGAAGAGTGCATACATCCATTGGCGCACCTTGCAAGGTAGAAGCTTGGGGTCTTACCCCCCTCCCCCACCCCGGTTGTTTTTCTCTAAAAAAAAAATGAAGCCACAAAAACTACTTCATCCTAAACTATAGCTCTGATATAACTGTAAATCCCAGTCCCCTATGTTTCAACAGGGGGGGGGTTGGGCTTGAGCACCATGGACCATTTTTGGGATAGATTTCGGCTGAGCTCCCCCAACGAAAAATCCTGGGTACGTGCTTCTCTCTGCCTTACATTTTTCAGGACCACAGAGCCTAAACTTCATGGTCAAAACCAAGAAGACGAACGGTACCACTTTTTTCTTGACTGTCTCAAAGACCTTCTGCAGAAAGCCGGAATGTAAATCCACTATGATATTAATCCTTTTCAATGTATTGTGCAATGCACAATGTATTGCACAATGCAATCCATTGGATTGCCTGTAATTAATTTTTTTTTGTTTTGAAAGTAGGAGTAACTGATCACACAACCAGATCGGGCTTGCGTAGCCATAAGGCCTAATCTTAATAATGAAATGGCCTACCTCGAACAACTGTTTAAAAAAAAATTAGAATTTGCAATCCAAGCCTACCACAGCTGTCTAATTTACGTACGGTGGTAAATGAATTAGTCTGCTGAAGTCGGCGTATGTAAAAAAAGTTTCACATAATAACTGGTCTGTTTTATTCAAGGTCACACGGACATTCGTTCGTGTTTATCCATTCTGCTTTTTATATTTTTATTATTTTTTTTGTGTTTTTGACAGCTTGTATTCGCAGTAAATAATCACATACCTTGAGTCAAAAGAGAGAGAATTCCTGATATCAATATCATTTGCAAATACTTAATTTATTGCTGGTCTACAAGCAAAAAAGAAGCAATTTCATATTCAAAATTAATTAATTATTTGCCTTCAGTACCTGATAAGTACAGATACCAGCGGTAAACATATTGAAATACATTACATATATGCCACTTTGAAGAACTCAAGCATTGTTAAGTGACCTAATCCACTCAAGGAATAACAATAGAGAAAATTTAGTTTTCAAGTTTTCAAGGTGAACGTGAATGTTCCTTTTGCTGACAACATTTGCTTAACCTATACAATGAAATTCATAACATTAAACTTGAGGTTTCCAGTTCCAGTTTAATACAGACCTGCACCTAATAATAATGGACTGGGACATTTTAAGTATATTTCGTTTTTTACGTTTCGTTTTTACTAATCACGTTGTCTTTTGTTTAAAAAGCGCCATGGTTTAAGGGTATTATAAATCCTTTGGACACATCAGATTCTTAAAGACATTGTAATGAACCAGCAGTGTGTTGTATTACTCGACACTACTTTCAGATTTTTTATATTACCTCAGAGCGAGTAAAGAATAAAAATAATATTGTGCTTATAAACTGCGTATAGGTCACAGTGGTCTCCTACCAAGTAGGCCTAAGCAGTGGCGTATCCGGGGGAAGGGGGAATGGGGCATTCCCCCCAAAGATTTTAGAGTAAGCCTTTTGATATTTTTCCTCCCCCAACATCATGTTGAATAAACCCGAAGCTGCATTTCTTTGAACTTTGCCCCCCCCCAAAAAAAAGCTTGGTACGCCGCTGAATGTAAAACAAAAACTTAATTTCGTTACTTTGAACAGTTTATGATTGTATCATACCGGGACAGTAAGTTTATTTCTGCTAATCAGTCTCCAAGATACTTTTCAACTCTGTTAAGCTGATAAACTAAGAATATTTCACGAGCAAACGTTGTATAATATTTTTTGGCAATGAACTCAAAACAAAACTAAATAGCAGAGGCACCAAAGGAGTTCAAAACACAGCAGATATCCAGCGTAACTCTACATGTAGTCCAGCAAAAACAATGCAATTCTAGCGAATTTTAGAATTTTTAATTTAAGCTGTCGTCAGGTACATTTAACTTGTTTCATTAATCTTCCTTAACCTCATAATAATTTCCATTAACATCCTCTGCGCCACACTGTATATAGTGTGTTTAAAAATAACATATTTGGATCTTTCTATGTATGATTCATTGTTTTCGATAATTTGAGCACTAAATCGTTGTCTCTTGCCTATTACATAATGCACAAAACCGGAAAAGTGGGTGTATCTTTGTTAATTACAGTCTCTGAGATATTTTTCAGACACCTGCTTATTAACTATAGAAAATATTATGAGGAAACGTTACATAATATTCTTGGTAATTAACAAAACCTAAATGATAGAGGCACTAAAAACAGTTGAAAACAGCAGATATCTAGCGTGACTGTTGTCCAGCAAAAACGCAATTCTGGCAAATATTATAATCTTTACTTTAAGCTGTCGTCAAGTAATTTTAACGTGTTTCATTAATCGTACTTTACCTCATACAGTTATTTAGCTCAACATCCTTTGCGCCACACTATGTTGCGTTAAAAGCATGTATTTGGATCCACCTATGTGCGGTTTGATAAGATTGTTCAGTTTTAGTTGTCATAACCAAGAAATCAGTATCTCTTTTACGGCGTTCTCTTGAAACAAAATTATGAATAGGAGGTTTATTCCGCCACGATAGTTTGTCCTCACAGTACACACTTTTATATGCACAACTAAATCATAATGCTCACAATGAAATAGCAACTAGTTGTGTTATATGA